TACCTATTACTGACTTTTAATCAGAATGATCCAAAAATATTTCTTATACAATTATATCTTACTAATATTATAAATGCGAATGTTTGGATGTTTGGATGGATGGATGTGTGTTAGAAGATATCTCCAGAACGGCTTCTTGGATCTTGCTGAAAATTGGCATAGATGTATAACATAGCCTTGAAATAACACATACTAATTAAGTTTTTTTTTTCTCTTCGCGCGGCGCAATCGCGGGCGACAGCTAGTTATTTTTAATCTTTTTGAAATGAATCTTTTGGAGACAACCCCAAACTTCGTTTCGTATAATGCAACAACTAGGTACATATATGTTATGAAAGATGTGTGGTGTGTATATTAAAAGAAGTTTAAAAATTGAGCTAGTAGTATAGGAATTGATAAGCAAAAATATTGTACAGACATATTATGCGAAGAGATGGTGGGCACATAAATAAGTAATGACATTATATGGCTACAAAGGTAGAGGAAGACCAATGAATGTATGAATGGATTGAGTGAAAGAGGATACGGGTTAAACGGGTATGAATTCAGATATGACGGGTGATACGAGATGTTTGGAAGAGTAGAATATTGTGCTGACCATACGTAGTGAAAAGGGCAGGCTGATGATGATTATTTGACAATTATAATTCCGTCTGTCTTTTTACGTCCCGAAACTGATAAACGCCGAAATGTACGTAAATAAAAAACACGCGTACGTGACAAGTTACCAAACATCTTATCGTTATATCGTTGATAACTTCAATTAATGTAAAAGTCACCAGTTGAAAAATGAACTACAAAGCTAGTGAAAGCAATTAGTAATTTAGTTTTTAAATATTTATATTTAAGTATCTACTCCTTTCAAAATCCTTTCATGGTAATTGGTGAAAGAGAGTGTATTAGCCTTATATTTTAAGATCATATTATTAATATATAACATATATAATAAATAAAATATCGCATAACAACCGTAAAACACCTTTTGACCATAGATTAGCCGGAATATTCCGCCGCGGATCCACAAGCCTTGTGTCCATTGACACTTAACCGGTTTATTAAGGCAATCGAAAGCGTTCTGTAAAATAAACTATGCCGTTAACAATCTGTTTCCAAATTAATATACTTTTATTTAAAAAAGAACTTTGGATTTAATACAATATGGTAGAAACACAAAAGATAGTTCCTCCTTATGGTAAAAAGTTGATAACTAGCGATTACATATTATAGAATTCTTATGTAGGTTATTCATGTACTTGTACTCATTATCTCAACGCCGCAGTACTTCAATAATCTATCGTAGGCAACAATCATTGACCCAAAATAATATATCTCCGTATTAGTTATAAATAAAAGGAAACGATCAAAATAAGATGTAGTTTGCACCGCCAAGTTGCTGATAAGACTTCAAGAACAGAATGGAGTGAGGAAGACAGACTGGCTGACTAACCTGCAATAATAACCCCTAAGAAAAGATAGTGGAGGAGAGGGATTAACAGAACAACTTTAAAGATTATTTTGGAGGGGCGGGGGGCTCGAGCAAATGCAAAGTGGCATCTGCGACCGCGTTTTCTGTAAACAACCGACGTAACTCAAATTAATATAATCACCTAAGATAATTATAAGAATTGGATAATCTACTTAAATACAGCTTTTCTCAAAGTGTGCTTCGCGGAACCCCTTTTTGGGGGTCTACAAGTATAAGTACTAAACGTAATTAAAAAAATACCACTATATGGTACCAGAGGAAAATCCGTCTAAATATTAATATTACGTACCAACCAAATTAGGATACAACTGAACGAGGAACGTAAGAAAAGCATTTTAAGTTACCTCAAACTTGTAATGCTTAGAATCTAATCTTTATATAAGTATAAAATCTAAGGTTCCGTAATAAAAATAAGTTTGAGACCTGCTAAATAATTAAATATAATAAAGTAAATTAACTAAGCCAGGTGCAAAGAGTGTAACTGTAACAGTAACTGTGGATACATTTGATTCTTATATCGGGAAAAATATAACTACTCTTATTCTGAATCTGCACCTATGTCTTATGACATAGCAGAATATTAAGTAGTCCCCATACATATTTTCAAAATACCTATTCAATTTTGTCCAATCAATATTCTGGAAAAACAAGAGAACGCGTGCACTTCATATCCTGTTCACTGCGCACAAATGCGTCATTGCAAATGATTTTTGTTGCATAATTCATAAATCTTCAGGCCAAACCTACAGGAGGATGTCTCGTAATAAATAATCATTCCTGAAACGCCTAATACTTCATCTCATTTTGAAATTTTTTGAAAAAAAAAATTAAAACACAGATAGAGTAAATTCTTCTGAAACCAGAAAGTTCAAAAAGATTTTTTTTCTTTAAAATTGTGACTACAATAAAAGTATTTATAATAAGAAATGTTCGTATTATCTTTGTGTAACTTTGACACACGCTTGACGTCTTCTAATAAACGATCCTTAAAGATGAAGTGCTGCGTAAATTATCGCTGCGGTTAAAAACAGACCACAAATGTCAAATCCATTTATTTGGGTAATTAAAATGAAACTAGATAGAGCAGTTTCAGGATTTTCTATAAATTACGGGACACTCTGTATATCATCACGTCATATTAAGATTCAAATTACAATATTCTTGTTGTTTGACCGATCGAAATGATATGCGCCCTTTACAATCCAATGACGGTCAAGGTGCTGCAAATTTTGCACGTACACATATTTTCCACATTGAAGAATTAAAAAAAATGTTTTGTTATTGAGTATTTGTGATATTCAAGTTAGACCTATAAACTTCTGAAATCGAGTACATTTATAAAAAGACCTAACAAATATCGAAATCTATTTTTGTCTTTCTATTTATTACTTTACTCGTTGAACCAATTCCCGTACCTCAGTACGGGAAAGTAAAAATGATTTTGTTTCGATGTGCGCTGAGTATTAAATATTGCGATCTAAAAAATATATTATTTTTTAATTCCTCGCGAAGAAGTCGCCGTCAACAGGTATTTATTAATAAACCGGTGCATTCCGTTATATTATAAAATACTAGTTGCTGCAAGTACGTTAAAGTTTTAAAAGATTTTAATACGCATTTTGTTTTGACATTTGATATTTAAAGCTCTTTTGTTTACTTAAGTTTTATTATTTTTATTACTATTGTTTTTTAGGGTTCCGTACCTCGAAAGAGATAAAAAATATTTAAAATTAAAAGTTATAAATAAAAAATATAGATTGTTATAAACATGTCATTCCACTATTAACAAAATTTTAAATAATTATGGTCTACGATTTTATAAACAAACGCCATAAACATGCTCCTTAAGAGTAAGGTCAGTAATAATCACCATCAAAGATCAATAATTTGTTGAATTGTAATACATTTTAAATAAAATAGTTATTATTTTCTATTAATAAACAATTTATGGTCCCTTTTGAAAAGTTCTGTTAATAATAATTCTATTTCTTAATTATATTGTTAACGGGAATGTTTTCAATATGAAATATATATTATGTCAAGTTCAATAAATACATCTAACCTCACAAAATAATAATCTTTGTTAATTTTTATGTAATACCTGCACTATTCCCCATGTGACATTACTATAATGATATAATGCCTTTTTCGGACTTTCTATCATTTCATGTGCTTCATATTAACAGATAACTTAAAAGATTTGGTAAAAGAAATTATTATCATTTCCTACATTGGTTAAGTTCAATATAACAATTAACAACAGTGTTGCGAGTTTACAAAGGATGACAGACTCAACAGTCTCATTTATTATGTATGATGTCTATAACATTATTGTTACAGATTTATGTATAAATGCATATCTTCATATTTTGCCTTTAAATTTATATAACATTGTAAACACTTTTGTTTAAGTACATTATACTTTCCAAATTAATACATTTCCATCGTAAATTTCATGCTAATACAAGCCAGAATATGATATGGCACATAAACAATAAAATTAAGGTATAAATATATTCAACTAATAGGCATAATTTATTTTTTTATTTATGAGAATAAGAAGACTTTTGTCCATCATACAGTATTCTATAATTGGAATAGACCAAGATAATATATGACTGAAAACGTTTAAAAACATCATATGCACATTTTGAACATAGCCACGCCAAGATGTTTTGCATATTTGAAATGCACATAAATATGAAGTCCGGTGCTTTGAACTGTAGAAAGATTCATACATGTGACACTTGGTCTCAAATTGTATTCACAAATAGTATGTAGGTGAATTAAGAATAGTATGTATACACCTAAGATGCAGAGTATTGTGAAAGAACATTCTAAACAAAATTCTTAGTAAGTCTTCTTAATCAATAAACAATAATATGAACAAATTATCGATTTTTTTGTATTAAATGGTGTAGATTTGACAAAGACAATTAGAACAAGTATGTTTACATTATACATTGTACATAACCAAAAAAAAATATTTTATAAATAAAAAGTTAATCCAAAAAAGAAATTTCAAATAAAAATGTTCCTAAATGGGCAAATTCACATAAAAAAGTCATTGACTAAACATTTGTCCCAAATTACAAAGCCTTTAAAGGTACATGTTGTACCAAATATAAGAATATCGATCTAGTTGGCATGTCGAAGTTTAGACATTTCTAAATTAAATTTCATGTAAAAACGTGTAAATTGATGAAAATTTCACGTATATATTGATTTAAAATCAACAAGGCACGGAAACGAAAAGCTCTACCTACTTATATTATGTAGTTGGTACCATGCACGTAGCACTAAAATATGGAGGATGCAAATTCGAAACTATACTAAAACTCGTCTAAACCTTATAGATCGAATGTAATTTAAGCTACAGCCTTTATTATAATATTTTACGAAGAATTATGACCATTCTTAGTGATAAAACTTATCAAATATGACAAAATATTCATTTTTTCATTCGAGTCTATTGCTCTATAGTGATGTTGATATAGCTTAAAATATTACTTACCACACTGAAGACTGACATATTACACTTGTAAAACAAAAAATTGAAAATAAATAATAAGACTAATGGTAATTAATATAGTTTTTAAGCAAGATTTATTTAAGTTTCACTGTTTTTTTCCACAAAACAATAACACTATGCGCAATCACTCCCGCACAACCACTATGAAGTTATTGACAATCAAATCAAAAGCACCAACATAATGAAATAATATTTTCGGAAATCATTATACCCATAAAACAACAAGAAAATACAATGTTAAAAGTCACAAAACAAAATCACAATTATTCGTATATTATTCAAAAGTACGCCTTCGACACTTTTTTAGGCTCCCGACACTAAGTCGTGAACACGCATGCCTTAACTACAGTATTGATTTTTTTATCCCGTTCTTAGCAAAATAGTGGGTACATACTTATCTTTGTCATTGTTCTTTTTATTTGATTTTAATATTATGCGCTTACTTTCTAATTGTAGGCATCTTTGAACTCCAAATTATAATTATAAGTCTTGAACGAAAATAACTAAATTACCATAAAAATAAAAAAATTGAATTAATCACACTTTTCGATTCAAAGTTCCAATTTGTTATGCATGTTAATTTCACGTGTACAAATACATTTTATTATTTAAAAATCTATTTTTTTTCTAATGAAAAGCATTAGACTAACTGTATTTCTAACATCTGTATCAAATAGTTTTAATCTGTATAGAAATGACATCTAAAATCTTAATTGTCATTAGTTTACGTTTTTGCCTGACTGTGCTTGTACTTGTACAAAAATAATAATGAATGTTGACAAAGTCATTACTTATTTAATATAAATTAATAATACAGTAATAATGCAATCAATAAGAATAGCCAAGAAAACACTAGCAATGGCTGTTGTTTTAAGTATAATATGGTTTTTGTTTTTTTGGAGTCACATTGGAATCTTAAGGTACAGAAATAATCCTAAATATGTTGCTAATTAATTTAACATTCATTGTAAATCAGTGACTAAATTTCAGATATCCTTAAGTTTCGTGTGTCCATATAGTAGGTGTAAATACGTTAAGTGTATTAAAATACAGTCGCACTGTCGTGGGAAGAAAAAAGGAGTATTTTATTACATCTTCTGTCAATACTCATGATTTAAAAATTCGTATGCATAATACATTTGACATTGATGTGATTCAAAGATATTCAAATATAAATCTAGATATACAGCGAACTTTACAAGCACATTATAATAAAATATGTAGTGATTTTTTTTTTCATGAAATGATATTTACACAAGTAAATTATGAACAAGCAACAAACAATCACATCTCTAGTTATGGGTTTCAGCTGCAATGGCACTTGTATAGAGTCATGGGGCCATCTCTTATGTTCTCTTTAAAAAACAAAGATAACATGTGTTATTTATAATATTATGGAGGTCGAAACCCATGGTATAATTTAATAGTAGTCATACAAAATACAACTACTAAAGAATAGAGAGAGCTTATTACAGTTTTGACAAATGTTCTAGAACATTCAATGGACTAACATGTAAATAAGAGTCCTCATACAGGTTATTTGGTTGCAAAGCTTTAAATCGACTTTACTTTGCAACCTGCATGTTGTCTGGGTGAGTGCAGAGGCATTATCCTGATCCAAATTCATTCAAGAATATAAACACCAGACATTGTAAACTAAACTTTACTACTGGTTCTATATCAGATGTCAAGTATTACACAACAATTTGTGTTATTCATGAAACTAGCTGTTAACTGGAACTTCGTCCACATGAAGTCTACATAAGTAGGCGCACGTCCGCACGTCGGAACAAAACCATTTGCATTTTACATTATTCCGCTCGGTTATCACCCGATGCACCGAGCGGGCCGAATACATTACACATGTTGAATGAACATCTACTGTTATATTTATTATTCTGTCCTAATTCAATTGAAGATACAACAATTGCACATCTTATTTTTCAGTTTTGAAAATGTTGGTTCCAAAGCTATTCCATTGGCTGTCAAAAACAAATTATGCTCTGTGAATTATGCTGACTACCGTTCTAATGTCAATAACAACAATACTTTGAAAATGATCTACTATGTAACACCAACTTATCCAAGGCCAGAACAAGTGCCAGAACTGACGAGGCTTGCGCACACTTTAATGCATGTGCCTCGAATCCACTGGATAATTGCTGATGACCAACCTTTATGTTCAGATGTGGTGTTGAATATTCTCAGGTAAATTATTCTGCTTATTTATTTTTATTTATATTATAAATTATCCCAATTATTTTATTTTTCATGGTATCAGTTGCATCTGCAGTAAACTCAGTAAAGTCAAGGTCAAATGTTTTTTTTTATCTAACCTTAAAGTTGTCAAGGGTATTTAATAAAAATCGATCCAACTTCTTTAAATACAAGCAGAAAAAGCAATTACATGTCATAAAAGATAAAAGATTTGTCTTTATACATTGTTTATATTATCTTCATAGTATGTTCATCACTCTATAAGTTTGATACTATTATAGTTTTTTTTATCGATTTCAGGCGTACTAATCTACCATTCACACATATATCTAGTCCAAAACCTTTTCTGTATAAAGGCACCAATTTCCCTCGTGGAGTATCAAATCGTAGAGCTGCTGTTGCCTGGCTTCAAGAAAATGTTTCGGACGGTATTCTTTATTTCGGTGACGATGACAATACAGTCGACTTAGAATTGTTTGACGAGATAAGAAATACGAAGAAAGTATCCATGTTCCCTGTTGGCCTTATCGGTGGATATGGAGTATCATCGCCTGTTGTTAAGAATGGAAAGGTAACACTTTTAATATGTTTATATTTAGTCATAATAAGAATATAAGATATTTTGTAATCTGTGGAATAACAGATTGATATGATTAAAAATAACAAATTAAATGATTAATTATCACCTGTCTTCTTCTGTTCATAGAATTGTGATATAGACAGAGAGTGAAGAGGATATCACTAAAAACCCCACTCTCTGTTGAATTTTGATCACCCTTTATCATGCTTACTTAATAATAAAAAAAAAACAATTACAGGTAGCTGGATTTTTTGACTCATGGCCGGGTTCAAGAACTTTTCCTGTGGACATGGCAGGTTTTGCTGTCAATATGAAATTCCTAAAACCATCAGCCTCAATGCCCTACATTGCCGGTCATGAAGAAGACAAATTCTTGGTTAGTTTGGATTTGAAAATGGAAGACATCGAACCATTAGCAGATAACTGTACGAAAATACTCGTCTGGCATACAAAGACTGCTAAATATAAGAAGCCAACAGTAAAGATTAATCTGAAACAATTTGACGGAGAGCCTAAATTCCAGAACTTCGTCAATCTTCTCAAAGAGACCTCGAGACTAGGTATGGCAAGTATAGAATCTAATAATGGAACCAAACCATATATTATTCGTGATCGTAAAAGCTATGAAACTCTTACTGGTTTACAGTAGATTTTAACATGAACAATGTATCTTATGATAGCTATTGAACCTATTGAAATTCAACTATTACTATGTTACATTTAAATGTATATTGTAAATTACATGCAATATACAAATTTATTTATTCATATTATCAGTTATGATCTCGGTGTTTCCATTGTCTTTTTCTTGGTTATGTCTTTGAAATAATAGGGGTTACATTTGACTCTGGTACCTTTAGGTATAAAATGGAAACAATAGTACAATTAGATGCATTTTATGAGTACATTTTTAAAAGTATCTTAGTAAATTTATAGACTCGTCCATAAGGAAAGTCTTATTTTGTTTGTTACTTGTATGGTTTCATTCTTTCTGTGTATCATAATTGTTTAGTCGAGCTGTGATATAGCAAGTTTGGATGTTATATGGAGCTATCGGAGCTTAGATAAAAGTTTATAATATATGTGCATAGTATCGGAATGAAATTTAATAAAGGTTTTTTTTCTGTAAACTACATTGCTTGAGAATTTAAACTAAAGTTTCACATCATCGAAGTATAGTAGATATGTTGTCTTTATCACTTCTCTATGCCTATAAATAAACTGTTTGCTATTGCTTCATTCAAATAATGTAATCAAATTTGAAGTCATATATTTCATGAATAAGTCTATGAATTGGTAAATCAAATTTATTCTTCGACAAAGATGTAAGAAAAACTATTTTATGTTAAATGAGCACCCTATTACAATTTACTATTATGTATTTTGTTCCAAATACATAAATATATATATATTAATATCATTTACTTTATTTTGAAAAATCATTACTCGAATCATTTATGGATTATTGTCTCGTATGAAAATGAAATGTGTGTTGTTTTGTTAAATATGTATAAGAAGTTAGTTATCCTAATTTACACATATATTTTGAATTGTTTTTATTTTTTTTTAATTGATATTTCTTTTGAGATTTTGTCATGACAGCGGATCATTTACGTCCAATAAATTTTGCAGTTGTTAATAATTGTTATAAATGGAGTTATAGGGTTTAGTCAAACCTTAGTTTAGTTTAAAACAATACAGTAATACATAATACTTAATTTACGTAAACATAGCTATAGTTTTCTTAATTTAATATATTTTTTGTTGATAAAATATGAAATTAGAAACCTTAAGAGCGAGTTTACACGGTTACCTTGTAATAATTCTGCAATAATTTTGCTTGAATATTTTAGTGAGCATTTATAGTTGATTTGTGAGATCAAAATCTCTATAAACGTCATTCCTCTCATTATCTTTAACAATATATTTTAACTGGATATTTTGGTCTCAGATCAACGTATATTTGGCTAATCAAATTACTATGTTTAAAGTTGCAATAAATAATGGTATTACATAAATAGTTCGTATATAACGATTTAGTTGGAATATTCATGTTGTTATACATAAAATTATGTAGATTTAAAATAATAGAAATAATGTTACAGCTTCTCGTCATACTGAAGTTAGCAATAATTTTATGATCCTTAATATAATAAAAAAAAAACTTATGGAAAATACCAAAACGCAAATATGTAGACGCTAAAAGA